TCATTTAAAAGTGATTTCAATTAAATTTCGCTAGTTTTTTTTAAGGGTTAATTGAATTCTGTAGATCAAGTTGTAATATGGTCTTTAGTGTGAGTTAATATTGCGTCCAATATCATTTCAAATAATGCGAAACCTATGTTCGAGGTTTTCTACCAACTATCTCCCTTCAATTATCCAAAAACATATATGTATTAATATCCACCTGAATATATTTTTTTTCAGTCCCTGTAATGATTTTGATAATTAACGCAAACTCTAAGAGACCGTCTAAAAAATGGGTGTTGAGGTGACATCTTCTGTTCATGTCGATAGAGAAAGCATTAGTGAATAAATCAAGCAAAAGCAAATACTCAACATTTATTCTTGAAAAGAATTGAGAACTTTCATTGAATCTATAAAATATTAAAGATCATCTATGAAAACAATTCATTGGAGGGAAATAGATAATATACATAGATAGACCAAGCACTACTGTGAGAACTGTGAAGACTCCAAGATTGATGGAAGATCAGATAAAATCAAAACTGACGAGTAAATTAAGCAGTTTGATCACCATAAATGAAGCTCATTCAAAATGTGATATAATTGTTGCACACTGAATTTTGTTGACCAAACTCTTTATGATCACAGTACTAAGAGTAATATATAGAATGTATTTTGATCTTTCAATAGATTAGGTGTTTAATCAATTAATATATAATTCTATTATAACAACATATGCACAAAAATGGACAAAAAAATAAACAACCTATTAGTTAACTAGAACTTACATCTAATTGATTAAGATCAGAAGTACATGATTTCAATGTCTCATTTATCCAGTGTACATGGTTGAAATCAGGCTGAGCGAAACGACTGAAATCCTAAAAATCATAACAGTAACGATAATAATAGCGATATTTACTCAAAACAGACAATAATTAATCAGTTCATGATGAAAAATAACTTCGTATTTAACAATTCACATAAATCTTTTATACAATTTAGATAAGTAATTGTACATTTCTTAGTCTTAAAACGATTGAATTCCATCAGTTATGCTTTCTCACTCATGTGAAACACATTTTGTGTAAGGGTTGTGATACTATCCGACTGCCCAAACCAAAGTGGGTGAAGCGAGACTCGGGGTTTAAAGTTGAGCGCATCAATCACTAAGTCACCGCTCCGCCTTGTCAACACGAGAATCTATTCTCACCAATTAAAACATAATTATCTTAGAATTGTATTTAAAAATGATTGATATCGGAAATATGAACCATTTTGACTCAGTAGTAGGAAGGTGGCATTTTCACCACGAAACCCAAAAATAATGAGTTTGATTCCTGGGGGGTTCGTGTGAGTGTATATTATTGATAAATCCTAAATGAAGACAAAATCAGCTGTTTAGCAGTCGTTTATATGATGTTTCAAAGTATTAGAAAAAACTGGAGTTACGTTTATTTTACATAACTGTAATAACAGGTAGAAAGATACATTCGAAACCGCATTGAGATTGAGCACATATAAAATGCACATTTTTTTGAGTATACGAGTTTACAAAACGTTCATCAGATACAAATAAGAATTAATGAATCTGCACCAAATTATTTGACCACTTACAATATCGTCTATAATCTCGATTCAATCAAGAGGTCTACATTGCACTCTCACTATCTATCTCTCTATACATAACTGACATTAAAAATCGGTTTAGCAATTCAGATTAGGAACAATCAAACCAAATGACATTAGTCCATGAATTTATATTGACTGTTGAACTGCGTTGTGTAAGCGGATGAAGATTACCCAGTTGAGATCTTCGCAATTTTCATAACCAATAGTTGGAGACGTTTGATGAAATAGCTCAGAAACGATCACAACAGTGTAGATTCGTTTACCCTTTTCTCCTTTTTGATCTTGAGTTTTAAAATCATCTACTTTTTATTTTATTCTATGAATTTATTATTCCTTTTCCACTCATATTCTCTGTGCCTAATATTTTCTGTCATTGATATTGTTACTACTCTTAATACTCTAACATTTGTCTTGATAATTTCATCTCCCTTTATTGATAATATAGCCGTAACTTGAACGGATGCACATATATGTACCAGGTTATACGCATTGTTTTATGCCTGTGAGGTCTAATAATTTACTACATTCACTTATTCAAACTGAACCACATGTTTGGTGAGAACAATCAATTCTTGACTTCTCATGAGAATATGACTGTTTTACACAATGACTAATGAATAATAAACAATGGTTCATATTTGAAAACTCTTGACATTAGAAAAAAACCACACAAACACTTGAATAGACAACAATAGAGATATCATATTACGGTTCAGAAAATTTTCTGGTATTTTTGGTGTATGTGTATGCATGAGGATGTACGATAAATATATATGCACACAAAATTGAATTTCTATCCTGTAGCACAGTATTAAAGTGAAAATACTGAGAAACTAAGGCTCATTAAATAGATTTAAAATAAGTGACTTTGGAACGCAGGATTGTTTTGTCAAATGAAAGAAAATATGTATATTTTATACTTAATATGTGCTTGGTTACAGTGAGCTATCTCTACTGCAGCGAACCAATGCGACAATCAACATTGAACTAAATCTTTTCAATAAGTTAGATGGTTGGAAATATTTGACATGAAACCCCTGCATGATTAAACCTTCATGTTAGTTAGTACTCGTCAGCAAGATATTTATCTTTAATCTTCAAGAGACCGATGACCCTTGATGGATTTGAATATCAGTCACTTAATTTCACGGCCTAAGACGTTACCACTGAACTATGTGACAACAATCAGCGTTCCATAAGACTGAGATGTACTTACAATCGTTTTTTAATTGGGTAGTAGTGACCAATGTCATGTGTGTGTAGTCCTTTTGTACTGATGATCGACTTCAATCGATTAGGTTGCTAACTGGACCCCAGTTTAACTAGCTCGATGTGACAAAATAAGAAATATATTGAACGAACTCTATGGATAATGAAGAAACTTAACTCGGAAAATCCCTACCAAATAAAATAAGTGTAATTTTAATAACATTTAGTACTTCGTATATTTATATAGAGAATATGTTTTGCTTCATATAGCCACAAAACAATGAATACATTTTGTTGAGATAACGAACCGATCTAATTTGGACAATCACTGGAAGCAAGTAGCTGAGTCTTTTTAGTAAGGAACTGCCCAGAAGTGTACATCCGTGACTCCGTCACTGAGGATGGAACACAGAACCTACAGTTTCACGCTAGAAAGCTTGCACTCTAAACCTCTAAGCCAGCATTCAACAGTGTACATGTCTAATTACAAACAATACTCAATATTGAGCGATCATCTTCCATTGTCTTTGGTTGGTAGCTTCGTTACGTCCGACACACTTGAACTCCATTCGACACGGCTGCCTAATAGAACTCCCAAAATTTCCTCTCGATGTTAGTCACTAGTGAGCAAACAACCCGTCATAGGATGTGTCCATGAATTTGAATGGCATATTTCTTTCAATAGGTAATATGTATACAATATGTAGCATGTGTTCTTTCATTTAGTAAGTGAATGCTGAAAGTAAGAGCATACATTTTTATGACAGGACACACCTCAGCTCAATTGTTGTCCAACAGTCACCAAGCACAAAACTTTACTGGGTAACAAACTTTTTATCAACAATTAGATGTAAACTGGTTTATACCGGTGCAATAGAATTTATCCTAAGAGGAATATTTTCCTTCGATGCTCATATGATTAACTGTAATCTCAGGTGGAACTTTGGAATAATGTATCGTCTAAGTAGTCTAAATAATATTATGTGACGTGAGCCATATTTAAAGGAACTGGATTAGCAGTGGTCTTCACAACTTGAGAGTGACAATAGTGCGAAGGACGACTACTTGAGGTCATTCACAAACAGGATCTTTTGGGGTAGACACAAGGACTCATTTAACTCTATGAATAGTGGATGAACAATTTGACTAAAGTTGTAAAACGTGTGCTGCTATTATTGTTAAATTTAGACTTATTGTGTAACGAAAAGGTATCATGCGAACTCTAAAACGTAAAAAAATATGTTAGCGTCTTAATCCATATGCGATCTAATACGCGAAATCAATTGATCAACGATGTTGTACAAAAATGTTTCTATCTAGCAATTTTCACTGATCGTTAGTTTTTTATGATCGTCTTTCAATAAGAATCAATCTTTTAGACAAGAGTATTCATATTATAGAATAGTCAATTAATGGTTACGATGTACAGTTGTGGCTTAGCGATCAAATCGTCCGGATTTCGATCACTCTATCCCAAGTTTGAAATTTAGTCCACTCACGTTGCTTTGGGCAACCAGGTACTATCATTAGCCCTCTCACGTTGAGTTTGGCTCAACATCATAAGGCCTGGTGAATACACTGATTTAAAATTAATATGTTCGATTTTAAATCATGAAGTCGCAGGTTCAAACCTCTATATTCATCTACTTTGACTCGGATAACTGATAGTAGCTACTCACCATCACATAGCTCAAAGCCTAGTGTACACAAATCTGAACCCGATAAATGAGTTGTTACAAAAAAACAACTTTATTCTCATAAGCTGAATACAATTCAAGTATAAAAGCACAAAGATAGACAAAAACATCAAATCATGACAACAAATAAATACAATGAACATTACACAATCCCAATAGATTTTTAATGAAACATACCAACAACAACAAAACAGAAGCCTAGGTGACAATAAATAAGCTTTATTCAAATGAATATACTGAATTACAAAAATGTCATGTAACACATTGTGGGTGAATGGGAGGGGGTGGGCTGTATTTATTGTTGTTGTTTTTTCTCTCGTATGCAATTGTAGGTTAATCGTATCTCTTTTTATTTTTTAAAAAATAGTACATATCTAAGGTTATTTACTTATTGTCTACTTTGATCAAATTACTTTTTATACATGTTAACTTCTTCTTTTTCTTATTGTTCTTCACTTAATCAGTGTAGGCTTTGATGATTTAACCGATTAAATCAAACGTTTGTTTGATTTCAGGTGAATTTTCTGTTTCACCAATTAATAGATTGATTTCTAAGCCACGATTATCGGTAGTTGCACGACGAATAGTTATGATGCCAGAGATTTTATCGCCTAATAATAATAATAATAATAATAATAATAATAATAATAATAATAATAATAATAAACTGGAAGATTAAAGTGAAATAATGAAAGGAAAAAAAAAGTTAAATAATATGTATTACAATGTTAGAATAAATGCATTAACTATCTGATCTATGAAGTAGAGATTTGATTGACAGTGAGATACACTTGTTTGCGATGTCTGGTGACTGCACTGTGAAAGTTCTAAATGAAGTAACATTGAGAAGGTGGAATTCAAACCCACAAACTATTATTATACGTTTTACCATTCTTGAGTTATACCCAGTATATTAATTATTACTTCCCTCATTCACAACCACATTTGCTTAATTCTTGTACAAATGCTGTTTCAGATTTTATTGGTAGGTTGTGGTTTGTTTGATTGGTATATAAACTCAGTATGTTTGAAATATAATGATTCATATCACAGAGGCTCGGATTAGTGTTCTGGACTTAACTGGCTGGGCTAGGCAGGGAGCAGGACCAATCAGGACTCTAGGCTGCTGGCACATGTTTTGCGCGTCCTTGGTCCGATCGATAACTCACTGCCGTCTAATCGGCGGTCACAAGTTATAACAGATACCAAATGATTGGAAATGAATGAAAGCTATAACCATCACATTATGCTACACCATAACAAAGAGTGATTTAAATTCACTTGGTATTGTTTTGCTTGTACCTTCCCAATGAGGCTTAAGACTGCAATTGATCAGTCTGTTATTGGCATGTGTGCACAATGTGCGGATTGCCTCGATATAGCCTTAAGTCGTAAGCTCAGTAGCTAAATGGATAAGGTGATGGCATTCGAAGCGAATGGTACTGGATTCGAGTCCTGGAGTGAACATCAACTCTGAGATGCAGGTACATCTAGCTGACGAGTCCCAAATAGGCCGAAACGCGCGTCCTGGATTCCATTGCTAGCCACTATCCATCTTTGCTTATAAAGAGTGATTTAGTTATGAACACAACACGAATAAAACTTATATTTGTTACAGTGATGATGATTGACCAAGCCAGTTGGGTTTTAAACAATTCAGTTATCAAGAAAAAACGATGGAATTAGAATAATAGGAAAAATTATTGCCCACTGTTGTTTTGTGTATTCTCATTTACCTGGTTTCACAGGAATCGGCTTATCTAAAAATAGTAACGTTTGCTTCCAATGTGTTAAAGGAGTAGTTGGGGATGTTGAAAATTCAACCTATGGAGGAAAATAATGAGGATAAAAATAGTAATTACGTCACGGAAGATTTCTTTTAAACAAAACATAATAGATTACTAAGGGGAGATCACAATTACTCAATCAGCCATAATTAACGTAGAACTTGGCACAAATGTGCCTTGGCACGAGCACCCACAATAGGTAAGGACAATGAGGGGAAGTTAGCAACTGACAAGCTGGGCCAATATGATATATCAATTCAACATTAAATGATAGGTGAGAAATGTTGACAGGTGCACGATATTGGTCGAGGTTTGCCCCGATCATCCGAGGAACATGGATACATGCTATTGGCCGAAATCTAGCTCAATTGTTCGGATGACTTATATTGAGATTTATAAATGAGTTTGCATTCATAGTTCGATCCAGGTTTTCCAATAAGACATCCTATTTGTTCCTCGTCTTCTTACTTACGTAGCTGATTTAATTCGAGCATCTGGAACGTGTTATCAGTATCAGAATCAAACGACCGCCTAACACCATAAAAGCATGAATACCAAGAGTCAAAATGGTTTCAGTAGTGTTAATATTGAGCAAGGATAAATAAATAGAATATGGCTCTAAAAAAAACAAAATGAATATGTATGAATACTGGAACTTATGAATTAGAGGAACACAAGAAATTAACACATTTCCGGAATTATGACTGATCTTGAGCCACATCAACCAACGTCTCCCATAACCAGTTATAGTAATTATCGTACGGACCACAAGCCGGTGACTGCACCCACCAGCGCAGTTCGAATAAACAGTCAATTATCCAATGATATGACGCCATGTCTTGGTTTGACCACCACTAGCTTTCTTACAAGTTTAATGTTATTTGGCAATCATCTCATTAAGATATACCTGATATGTTATGATATTCATCAGGACTCAATTATCAATAATTTTTTATTATAATAATAATGTACATTCTAAAAACAATATTGAATGATTAACACAGTGATTAAAAGATGCAGGAGAATGTATTAATTATAATAAACAAAATAAGTATTGATCAAAAACTAAAAAACATGTAATTAAACTGTTCTTATATTGCATAATATTTAATAAAAGAATTAACCAAATATTTTGATTAAAAAAATTCATTTTGAGATGGTGGAGAAGATTCGTAGCTGATGTGGATGATTTTGGTGGACTTTTGTTCTTTAAGCTGGATGGTTTGGTCGTGGAGCTTTCATTGTTCTTCTGAACGACATCATCAGCACAAACGTCATTTTTATAAATAGTTGTATAAGAATTAAGAGATGTATTTAGAGAATATGTCGAAACGTTAAAAGTAAAGAAAATTAGAAATTCATGCAAGTATTTATGAAAAGAACAACAGTTAATCATAGTTCAGATATAATCCACTCCTAAATCGGTGTCCAAAGTGGAGAGAGAGAGGGGAGGAGAGAAAGCGATTATACAAGCTTCTTCGGAGTACAAAGATTAAATTTATGAATGAGTTAGTGAAAAACTGATTTTCATATTTCATTTATTTGGGACCCATGAGATTGGACTATGAAACAGAAGCGAGTGATTGTATTGATCTAGTCCGAGTATTGATTTTCGTCCCCTAAATTGTTTATTTAGCACCAATAATGCGGAAAATCAAACAGAAGTCGAGAGAAACACTAAATGACTATTGGTCTATGATGCAGTTCTCCACGATCGCTCGCTCACCCAATAGTCAGAATAGAGAAAATCTCAAACAAAAAACAAATCCTTATGATACAAATAGAATTTACGAATCACTTATACGATGATCTGGTTGGCGTTTTTCAGCAAGGATTTCTTCTACGAGATTGTGTTCCTGACCCCATCCCCAACCCTCTTCCTTTACTCAGGATTGGGACTATTCGTGACCTTAGAAGAGCTACAAGCGGAAAAGATTGCCCAGGGCAGAGTTCGATGTAGAATCTTAGTGAGAAACCAATCGCTACTCCACGATGGGCAACGGACGAAAATAAGTACACATACAATAATCTAGGACAAAATCCTGACTATGCATTAACAGAATTAAATTATAAAATAAACATAACCGCGCCGTAGATGGAAGAGAACTGAATCACCATGATTCTCCATCGAACACTGTCTTGGGCAACCCTTGTGTCCGGTCTGTAGATGCTTGTTCCTTCTCCCAAATCTTCCAGAATAGAATGTGGAGCATATTTGCAGTTACCTCTATGCTGGACTTCAGTGCTTCAGCTGGTTTATTGTCAGGTCCTGCTGTCTTCTCAACTCTTCATTTGTCTGATGGCCATCATTATCTCTTCGACCGTTGGTAGAGCGACAACTATAAATATGTTTGTAGGTGCTGGTTCGATGACTAATAGATTAAATAGAGCTGATCTATTCAGGATTTCCTGAATATGTTCTACTCATCTGTTCCACTGCTCTAGAATTCCAGTGATTGTCTGGTCTTCTTTGTCCTTAACCGGTCTCTCTGGTCTACCATATTTCGCTTCGGCTCCAAAGGAGCAGTCGAATAACTAATAAACATATGAATTTGGCAAAACCAGATAGTTTGTCTCTATTGGTCAGCTCTAATTATCAGACGATTGTACAAAAAACCGTATTCAGTCTGTCTGCAGTAAACGTTTTCTGTACAGCTCTCCGTTCTTGACCTTCGTGTTATTATTTCACCGGCAATGCTGTGGGAAACAATTAGCTAGAAAAAAGGGTTCTTTACTCAGTTAATCTTATTATCAAATGTTGGAATATGAATATTCACTTTGATCTAAATTGACAATGAAATTACCAGGGTAGGGTTCTGTGAAGATCATACAATTACGGCAGACTTTATATGATGAACTGATCTTTGGTTACGCCATCTTTGAAAACTTGGAAGTACTATATGGCCGTTTAGCCCTATCATGGGTCCTCTCGTTAAATGATTGAAGCTGGACATTAACACTATTGAATGCCAGCTCAGTGGGATAGAAGTAAAACCTCCGTATACAAGATAGAGAATCCTAGGTTTGATTCCTGGAGGTATGGTTGTGGATGAATACCGCTAAACGGTCTCAAATTAACACGAAACGGTCGTTCAATACTTTCAGGTTTTCAATGGTGGTAGTCTAGCTAAGAGCAGTTTATGATATAAAATCTATGAGAATAAAATTGATAACAAATCTTTCCGCTTACCTTACAATCGGCGTCATCATCAAAACGTACATTGAAATAGCCAACAATGGCGTCTAATTTATAACTACTACTATTGTTATTATTAGTAGTAGTTGTAGGCTGTATAATTAAATGAAATTTTTGTTCACATAAAAGTGAACAGTGATTTGATAAATTATAAATACGATTACGATGCATATCGTCTAAATCCAGTGCAACCAGTTCAAATGATTGTGTTAATATAGTAATAGGGGATATTGGCGGTGTAACATGTTCATTTGTTAAATTTAATACATGTGCTTCACTTAATGCAGCACGACGTAATGCTGGCATTTTATACCCGTATACATCATTCCAATGTTCTAAACGACGTTTACGTAAATGTTCGGAACATTGTACACCTAATAAATTTAATGTATAATGACGTGGGAAAATATGTCCATCACGGGATAAATATTTTGATGCCATTTTTAAGACAGAATCAAGCATTGATTCGAAAAACAAAAAATATCCCATCCATTCAGAGATGATTACATCGACCTGCAATAAAAATGTAAATATGTAAATAAATGAGCGAATTGAACATAAACCTACCTTGTTAATTTTATAGTTTACATCACGAACTAGTTTTTAATTAGTCAAACCATTGCAAGATCGGAAGCACTAAACAACTCTTTTGTCACAGTATAGAACTCTCCAAAAGCAGGCACTAACGATCACTCCCTAAAAGAATCGAAGTCAGGACAAACTAAGTTTAATCTATAGTGTCAACTATGAATTCAAACCATCTCCATAAACCTACTAGTTTCGTCAATGCTGAATAAATGAATAAATCAAATTCATTATGAGAAATCGTTATTAGCTGAAACAAGTACGAAAGTAACTGAAATCAATTCTACAAGGGTATAAAGACTAGTGAAGGATTACTAAATGAAAAAGAATGACCAAATAACTGTCAATTTTTTTCGACATTCTAAAATTGTGTCAACTCATGTCAAATCAATAAATAAGTGTACTGAGGTTAGAAAAACCTTAGTTTACGTATTGTACAGTTTATTAACGTTAGTCTGTTCAAAAAACTTCATATTTATGATAATACACTTATACACGTTTCGCACAATCGTTGAAAACACACCAGGAAATTACAGAAATTAGATAATCTAGCTCCGCAGTCGTTTCAAACGAATTTTTTTCAACATGAAGTACCTTGAGCGAATTATGCGTGCAGGCGATTTTCACAAATCACTCAGACAGTAGATTGGTGATTGGAAAATAATACGCAAAAAATTGTACATATTTAATGTTTACATTATTATAAAAGGCAGAATAATTAGCTCTTTTGGTATTGGATATGTGTTGAAAAAAAGAAATAATGGGGGTCAATTAGCATCAGATTGCAACAAGTAAGGCGGTTTCATCTTTACTGGATTCAATGATCAGTGATCCAGTTAAGTCGGCTTAAAAAAGTTAGCTTGATATCAATCATATCGATACGTATATGTATATGCATAATAACTGTTTGTCGTCTAAATGGTTTTATTCTATTCAAGAGCTGACTTATTTTCCCCGAATTCCCTGAAGGTTAATGAAAAATTCTCAAAATAAATTGATCAAATGGTTGTGTCTGTGCCCGAGAGGGTATCATATTCTTCTGTGTTATCAGGAGTGTTAGAAGACAAGACCAATCTTCCAAATATTTGATCATCGTACTTCTCGCGGCGGGGGTATTGTTTACGAAATTGAGAGGAGGAAAAGAGAATGTCCAGCGCTTTAACCGGGTCAGTGGACATGGAGGATCCATCTTGAGGAGTTAGAAAACTGATTCTAAACCAATGGTGCACACGGGTCTCAGGGTCCTGAGGGAACAAGTGCAGTATGAACCTAGTCCTGGTTACCGACTACCATGAGAATGCATTTCGTGACCTTGCGCTACTGCCTTGTGGATTAGTTCTTTAGGTCGAAGGCTCGGGGTGTGACCACTTAGGAAAACTATCTGCTTCGGTTTGGGCACCTGGGCACTATCACAACCCGCACACAAATCGAATGATTTATTTGGCGCATACATATTTGGTGTTCCCCTGTACCAATGTTTATGTGCTTAAATAAATAAAATAATTTTTTAAAGAGAAAGTCTCATTTATTCCCCCCCCCCAAAAAAATAAATAGGATAATTTTTAATAATTTAGAGGGAATGCAGGAAAAAATACATTAATGACCTACCTTTTTAACTGGTAATTCAACAGATTCCGCCTGACCATGAATAAAAGTAACACGTTCTAGTAAATTGTTCACTCTGTTATAGTTTTGCGGCGACGACGGGGAGAGGAAAACAAAAACCCAAATATTTAAGGGAAAAAACAATGCAACAAAAAATATGCATAAGAATGAGTCTAATAACAATAATGACGATGATAGGGTCATTTAAAAAATATAAAAATTAATCTCACAAATAAAAGAGACAATAATTACAAATTACGAAAAATGTTAGATCGATAACATTTCATTCAGTCAGTAGGTCATAAGCAATATAGAACCTGGCATATATGTCCATCGATTCAACATGCTATACCATATTACGACAAGATGAAACAATAAAGACAAATGCCAGAGTAGTATTAGTAGTAATAATAATAATGTTAGTGAGAGTAGTAAGATTATTAGGAACTAACTGCAGACAATATGACTCAAGAAATAATGAATAAGAGGAGACAATGGAGAGGTGTAAGATGATTTTCCAAAACTCAAGATGTAGGGAAGGATAACAAGTGAATGTATTTGGGGCTACTGCAGCTAATTCTGAGCTATACTGTTATAGGTCACTAAACATTGGTTAAGATAATTGCAAGGACTTTACCCAGGTAATGTCCATCTACCAACATGACTCAATCAATATGTTAAGCCAATATTTAAAGTATTTTGAAGATAGATTCTGTGACCCAGAGGAGTTACATGACTGTTGAAAAATTCAATAGAAGCTAAGAAGTTCTGAACAGTTACCTTATCTTAATTTGAGTCTCATCCACAGTATGGATCAACAATCCTCCGTACTAACATACATGTACGGAATTGAACAGTGGAACTTCAGGACTTGTATTAAACACAAGAGACTATAGTAAGTCTAGATTCAAAGTTCTGAATTGATGAACTTCATTCAATCTGAGGTGAATAATATAATTATAATCTAATCTCATCCGTCACTGATAAAGATTTCTGAATAACATAACAAAGTTAGATTTAACAGCTGGAAAAATCAAAATACAGCAATGAATTTAACGGGTCTGAATATAAATCAGAAGTTGCTTTCATTCTACCGATTTGAACTGGAAAAAAACAATAAAATATTGTCATAAAATATGTAACAAGGATATATATATGGGACAAGCTACAACAGTGACAGAGATTGATAAAACAACCGAATACTCTAAATTAAGATTACCTTGAACAATGAAAACAGATGAGTCTCCTCTTATCCCCTCGCTTAATCTCACAGTTATTTTCTTACAATTAGAGCATCAGTAGAAAACCTAGTTCTGATGCCAAAGAGGATTGATCTGGGCAAACAAATAATATATACGCATTTAAGTATATTTCGAAAAATATTTTAAAGTAGGGACAAAAAATTTACCGTATTAAGAAACGAATTGAAAAGATGTTCGTGATTGTTAACAACGGCTTAAGGAATGTCAGAAAGAAAGACATAAATTTATAGCTATGAAAAACACATTTAAAAAATTTGTAATTGTAATGAAGTATTTAGATTTTAACCAGATCGAACCGTCCACAGAAAATGTGTTTTTAAAAAATAGAGGTGATGGAACCAGACAGTGAGAATAAGGGATTGAAAGATACCTTTTCTGAATACAAGGATCAGGCTTGAATTTATTATTTGCTAATTGTGAACGTATTCTTTACTCAATTCGCCTTACAAACATAATTATAAATATACCCTATAGGAAGGCAATTTTACATTGGTTTTCGAGAGATTCTAATGTCAGCCGCGATCTTTAGAAACTGAACAGAACATCTTGATTATAAGGCTCGACCACTTACAAGTACGTATCAAGACCCCTGAAGTATTAATAAGTATGAGGACTAGTGAAACTCCCTAGTTGCCCAAACTGCAATGAGTGGAAAGGGGTTCAAACCTGAGTCTTAATGGATGGAAGTCAAACTCTCAACTACTGAGCTACGCAGCTGGGTGGTTTAGACTTTGTGGATTACAGCCAGTGAGTGTAGCAGCAGACTGCAGCTATGGGTCTCAACATTCACAACGTAAAAAGCAAGATCCTGAAATACAACATAGTAAGCAAGAACCAAATCGCGCTTGACAACGAAGCTCTTCAAGAGATGGCTCTTACGCATCTGGACAACATCAGTTGTAAACAAGGGAAATCTGATGAGGATGTGAAGGCAAAAATTGACAAAGCAAGGCCAACATTACAGCAACGGAAGAACATCTGGAGCTCAATTGGACTATCACTCAAGACTAAAGTTAGAATTCTCAACACAAACGTTGAAACAGTTCCACTGTACAAAGTTGAAATTTGGAAAACTACTATAACCAGCACAAGAGGCCACAGATCGATTGGCCAGAGACCATAAGCAATTACTGACTATACCAGAAAACAAAACGTATTTCAACGAAAGAGGAAATCAAGAAAAGACGCTGTAGGTAGACAATGAGTAAATCAACGTGTATAACGCAAAGCAAATCCTAACTTGAAATCATCAAGATAAAAAGAAAAGTTAGTTGTCCAGTAATCCTGAGTGTTGCTAGCATTCCATTCTCTTAGCTGTGTTGTTTAATCGTGTGACAGAACGCTCTGACAAAAGAAAATATAGTTTTTCCTATTGTGAGATATTCCCGTTTTTTTGTTGTTAGTGACGGAACTCCTGACCTGATTTCTGAACAACAAGAAAGATGGTTCTCTAGTGGTACAGAAGAAAATATAAGTAAAACTAATTTTAAAGAATAGATAAATGAAACACTGATGGACGCATCATACCAAATTAATGCTCGTATTTTTCCTTTACACTAGTGGGACACAAAATTGCCTAAAATGAACGATTTATCTGCGTATACGATTCGCTCACTCTATACTAGATGCTCAGCCAGCACTATTCTACAAGGCTTCAACAAAACTCAAACCAAGGACACGTGACTCGCCTGACTAGTACGTGTGTGATGTACGCTACTTATGTTAGCAGATATAAGTAGTATGTAATATCATTTGAAAGTGGAATGGAAGAAGGTTGAGAAGATTGAAGTGAAGGGAAGAGAGAATGAAACTGAAGGAATCAAGTTAACAACAGGAATGAAGGAACAATAAAGCATATAAGAGACAATTCGAAAATTTGCAAATGATGTATTTGATGTGTGATTTTCACATTTTATTAAACCATTGCGTGATTGTGCATTAAACGATAAATTGGTCTTCTCCACCTGAGTTCGTGTTCACTACACGTTTCTTACCCAACAACTGACAATCAAGGGGTGGAGAAATATGTATGCGACACATAAAACACCTCACTCAGTTAGTAACAACGTAGAACTTCGTACGTACGTACATCAGTTCGAGTTGCCACACCACATTAGCACGGAGATGCAGTTGTCGACTCAAATTCTGTAGTGGTAGAGGTAGTAAGAGTATAAGCAGTAATCAGAAACGTTAGGGCTTAAAGATGTTATTCAAGGAGTATAATCCAGTGAAATAAATTTGGAAAGAAAATAAGGCACATGAAGAATTCAGAAGATTAGAATATGGGAGAACACAACGAGTGGATGCACTTGCGTCATTGCAAACGATTTTGAGCCATATCATAAAACACCTATCAGACTGTATAGTCTATCAATAACCGTTTCCTCTCGACCATACAACATAAACATATAATTCAATATGCATACCTTAAAGTTTCATGCGAAGCTGCATAGATCTCGTCAGCAGCTTCTACACCGTAAACATGTGAAGCACCAGCTTGTGCAGCGATAATCGACAAGATACCTGAACCAGAGCCAACATCCAAGATAATTTTATTCTTAAAATATTTGTTTGCATTAGACAAGATGAAATTCACATAAGATTCAGTACGTACACGATCATCTATATAGATATGAAAAGAAAATCGACATGGCAAAAAATTTAAACAATTAGAAACGTAAAACTATTAAGTTTAATGTTTTTTCAACTTTCAGCCGCCAAGTTACAGGTACGAGCCCCGCTTCCACCTACTACGGTTTGAACAACCGAGTAAGCACATCACTAGTTCCCACACATAAAATGTGGCTCATACTACCCAAGTATGTGATGAGTGAGTTTACACATAAAAATGTGTTATAATATAGAGTAACCGTTTGAACTAACGCCAAAAAAATAGATTTTAGCATAAGACAAGTGTTATCGACATGTAAAATTCCCAAACACGGATTGATATATTACTTTTATTACGCTTAGCATAGGGAAAAGAAATAAATGCGCGGTACTTCACAATTATACTCTACATAAATATTTCAACAATATATTTCAGTTGAAAAATTTCTGAAATTAGCTAACGAGTCAGTGTAATCAAACAGTATTGTCCGACTGTAACTGCTGTTTTTATACGGTGATCAGTCTTGTATATCGTGATAATCTAGAAGAGTTATATATTGGCTGGGATACTGGCTTCTTCAGTTTTCGACAAACTACGAAGTTAGTTGGTGAGCAGTAAGACCGAATCTAATAACTATAGGGTCCTAATGGGAAGTCGTATTGCTAACTGTTTGGAGTTTCGATAATAGTAAGATATTTCCGTTAAGACAACCCAAATTTATAGTGTTACCGATTTATTACAAAGGAAGGATTAGGTTAGAAATGTCAGCTCTAAATATATATCCTTACTTTTCTCCCCTCCCCCAGAAATTTCTTTCACTAGAGGTAAGGTTTGAGGTGTATAAAGCGAACACATTAAGAGCTACTCGTAAAAGGCCATATGTTAACAGGCTTAGGGAGTTGCCTGTTTTTCTGTGTGATCACGCTCATAAGCGATCAAGACCGCCACTAACCCAATTTCCTTTTCAGGTCCTTTGAGAGGTATTCTTTCATGATGTAGACAACTGGGAAGTGATAACCACCGTCACACCATTAACAGCATGAGAGATCAACTTATTCGCAATGTTGAACGGGATAATAAAGTGGGTTGGGACCTAAAAATAGTTGAAGAACTTGGGTTTCAACAAGTCTAATTCCAAGCTTGAAATGAGCTCGGTATCACTATTCAAGTGTCTATATTATTAGCCACCGAATACGAACAGTATGATAATGTAAACTATATAATATTTCAGTCCAATAAAAAGTGGGCTAGCTTAGCGGCAATGTGGTGAACAGAACACGGGTGGGGACAATCGAATGTATTTAACACGAAATTACAGGACTTGTTAATAAAATCTAACAATCATAAAGTAAATGCTTAATTTGCAAAATGTCCATCGGTTGTCTCAAAATGACTCAGACTTCATTGTTCTTGCATTTTCATACAAATTGCATTCTGTTTCCATTCTTTACTGTTCGATCCTCTTGTCTCTTTGCTGCCAGACTTTCTGTTCACAGTTAACATTATATACTACTTATGTCAATATAAGTAGCACACACCACAGTAACGTTTTAGTTTTTGTAACTGAGTGAAGTGACTTTAAATTCCACAAGGATCATTATTTCCTTCAATATTTCAAGTACGCCTCGCCAACGAGTTCAAACCACCACGAAATCTTCAAGCATCAATCACCCATACATTTAGTTTCAAACTACTTATATTTGTTGAAACAACTACAAAGTATTTTATAGTTTTGAGACATCTGCATATATGTAACACATGTCGTAACAGGGACTCGATATGGATCTTTATTGGTGACCAGCATACAAATTAGATGGGAATAAACTTAGCAACATCCGAATCGAAAAAATATCAAACGAAGTTACTGACTTGAAAAAACTGTTGTGATGAAAAATGCAAATTTCTTGGATAAAATGATGCAGTGCAATGATCATAATTGACAGTTCAAGTGGGAGCCTAAATTGATATAACTCGAAATTGATTAGCAGTGGAATCCAGAACGCGAAACTCGGCCTATTTAGTGCTCATCAGTTGGACATCGCTATGCTCTTGAATTATAAGTGTGATACTCCGTTAATTTGCATTTTATCGTGTTGACTTTCCTTCTTATTGTGATGAAATGAATTATTGTAACAGTTTAGGACGATGAACACATTCATGCCAAATCTTACGGTGATTAGGACCAATTATCTTTAAACCCCTTAGGGAAAAAACATCATAAAGCTAATGTTATGATCAGCTTACTTATCATTTCACCATGTATTTCAAAGTGACCATAAGATCCAAAATATGAGGAATCATTCGGTTCCATGTCGAAGTCATAATCAGGCGATTGGTCAGATGATTTTCTTCGAACTGATTGGGCAGACATAGTTGAAAGTAAACGTCTAGGAATATAGAGCAAGGATGAGAAAGATCAGTAGCATTGACCACTCACAAATTAGCGTACAAAAGAAGACAACAACAATAACGATGCCATATGATGACAAGTTTTTTAGTTAAGTCAAATAGTGGGTACGAGACGTGTATTTAGTCCCATTTGAGACTCGTCAGCCAAATGTATTTGAAAAGACGATAGAAAGATACAAACCCTTGTAAAAAAATTATACCTGTTGGAAAAGTTAGTGGCTATCTAAACTCCGCAGTTCAATGGGCAACTCGTAGGGCGTTTAAAATGAAAGACACTAGGCTCGAGTCTTAGCGCGAGCGTCGACACTGGAATGTAAGTAAATCCAGCAGATGAGTACTAAACAGGGTGAAATACGCGTCTGACTGGGTGCTCGAACCGAAGCATGTGGTTTTGTCAGAGGGTCATCCCCCGAGACGGTGACCCAAAGAACTAAGCCACAAGGCAGTGGAGCAACGTTGGGAGGTATGATCCTATGATAGCCGGTGACCAAGAATATGTTCATACGCCATTTGTTCCCTTACGATCGTGAAGCCCACATGCACCACTGGTTTGGAATCATGGTTGTCTAACTCCCCTAGGTGAATTCTACGTATCCGTCATTTTAGTGTAAGACTCCCCTCCAATGTCCACCCAAGATCCTATCGAAGATCAAACACAGGATCCTCAAACCTTATGATGAGTAGATAACCTTTAGACTAGTTAGTTGGCGCCTAATAGTTTATATTTATAACTTTAGTCACGATATTGCATAACCACAATCCACTGCTACTGATTGTATTTATTTGCGTTACTAGTACAAACATATTATAATACTGTATTATGTCGTACCAGGTATCTACTAGTATCAAACACAAGTTCAGAAATTTTTCCTGTAGACTAATTCCAACTACCCAACACAAAGATGTAAATACTATGCTACTTATTTAGCAATTGCACCCTAGTAGAAATAAGTTATGCATCTCATAATTAGTTTAAATAAGAGAAGTGAACGACATTCTATACAACCTGTCTCTATGTTGCTTCCTTGCAACACATTCCCGTCAGTAAGTGAAAAAAAAAACTAAAATTCATAATTTCCCCTCACGATCAATTATTTCCAAATAAAATAAAATTAACTGATATAATTTTTACATAGAATAGATGTAAAATGGAATCCAGAACGCGAGTTTCGTCCTATTTGGGACTCGTCGGTAGCTGGATCTATCTGAACCTCAGAGTAAATGTTCACTCTGGGATTTAAACACAGTGGCATTTGCTTCAACTGCCAACGAATTATCCACTTAGCTACTGAGTTAAAGCCCCAAAGTGAATATCAACTCTAGGATGCAGGTACCGTTAGCTGAAGACGAGTCCCAAAAAGGATGAAACGCCAGTCCTCGATTTCACTGCTATCTAGTTTTCATCAATTCTACGTAAACTTTATCATAATCGGCAACGAATAAGGGTAATCCTGCATAGGATGCACATATCCCAACTAAAATTGATCAGATTTCAATCAAGTATATCAACAATGGGATAATCCAAAATCATCATGAATAAAATAAACTAATCGAATTTTTATTCAACAAATATAACAATAATTTACTTGCAATTGTTTAACTGAGTACGTAACATTTTATTTTCTGCTATGATACGTGACATTTCTTGTGATACAGGTTGTTGAATAGTAGTTGACTTTTCACGTACAACTATCCCAGATGACTGATCACTTCGTTGATTATCCAATAAATAGGATTCAATATCTGAGGTGGAGAGGGTATGATAAAAAAAATCAGTTGAACAGTAACAGAATCATTAACTTCGTTTCAAGCCACATATTAAGCATGAAGACTAGTGACAGACATTACTACCAAGACATTTACACAAATCGAAGTATTTAGGGCTCAGAGAGTTCGAACCTGCAATTTAATAGGCTGAAATTCAACAGCTTTAACCAAAATTATGTAAATATCATGAAAAATGGGAGAAACAGTAGAAAGCTATTAATTGTAATTGGGAAAAAAGAAGTTAAAATACTGAAATTTAATGACTTAATATTTATGTAACTCTTAGTAATAGTTGGAAAATGGCTTTTTTTGCAAAATATCGACTCCAATTTTTTATCTACTTTGGTCCGAACTACTACTGGTTAGTAGTGGTAGTAGTATTATTAGCCGTCACAAAAAGTATGAAAGTTAAAAAGCTAAATCTATTCCATCAACCGACTATAGTTAGTGAGTTACGTAAAAGTGACATGGTTCACAACCGGTCATATTGATGCATGGTGTATTGATTTTTTTCGCAATTTTTCCTGAATAATTCATTACTTATTTCTCAACTGCATTCCCTCTGTTCAGTTATTTATACAATTATGGGAACTCATTTACTTACGCCTGTTACTCCTCGTGGAGGAGCATAGGCAACTCACCAGCATTCTCCATTCAACTCTGTCCTGAGCAATCCTTTTCAGTTGTTTAAAGTTGATATTCATTTTTTTCATGTCTGCTTCCAATTCTCGTCGCAGTGTTTCCTTTGACCTTCCTCTTTTCCTTTTCTTTTCAGGATTCCAAGTCAGCGCTTGCCACGCGACGCAGTTTGATGAGTTTCTCAATGTATTTCCTATCCATTTCCAACGTCTTTTGCTAATTTCCTCTTCAACTGGAAGCTGGTTTGCTCTCTCTCTCACAGTAGGTTTTTTGTGATGGTATCCATCCAACGGACATCCAGTATCTTACGTAGACAATTGTTTATAAATACTTGTACATTTTTGATGATGGTTGTAGTAGTTCCCGAAGTTCCAGCTCCGTATTGTAGAACTGTCTTGACGTTCGTATTGAAGATTGTGAGTTTGATATTTGTTGACAGTTGCTTTGAGTTTTGTATGTTCTTCAACTATAGGATTGCTGTCCTTGCTTTGCTAATCTTCGCCTTTATGTCTGCATCCGACCCTCCTTGTTTATTGACGATTCTGTCAAGGTAAGTGGAAGATTCCACATGTTCAAGAGCTTCTGCATCAAGTGTGATTGGGTTGGTGTTCCGTGTTGCATTTCAGGATCTTGTTTTTTCCTGTGTGAGTGTTGAGGTCTACTGCTACAGAGGCTTCTGCTACACTGGTTGTATTGACCTGAATTGGTTTGTATGTATGGGATAGAAGGGCCAGGTCATCTGTGAAGTTCAAATCGTCTACTTGCAACAAAGCTGACCATTGTATTATGGATACCACTTATTATTTCGCCTTTCATTTTGGTAATTTCCTCTGTATGCATGATTTGAGGTATAATAATTCGGACTAATGTATATTTTCATGATTTTAGGTCACAAACTGATTTTAATTAGATCACAAATGAAAACGTGTAAGGGTTCTCATACTAGAAAGAAACTGCTTTTCAGTGCTTCTAGGTTTTCAATAATGGTCTAACTAAGATCAGTCTGTAAATTAAAACTAAGGAAATTCTATAACCTCCACAAAAACCCATGTTGATCATAAATTTTTGTTGCGTATTTTGTATATACATATATCATATAGATTCCAAAACGAATGATCAGTGTAACAAACGTATACCTCACAGATTTATTAATCAGACAGTTCTAGGTAAAATAGAACCTTAAGTCGTTAGATATGTAAAATGACAACTGATTTTCTTTTTCGTACGTCTGTTCTGAAGATATAATGTATCCCTGAGAACTTTTTACTACGACAAAAATACCCAAAGAAAAAAACACCCACCAATCGATAGGACTTCATCATCCGGTAGAACTGGATAGAGTAGATCTAAGGAGTCAGTTTTCCAAACCATATCATAAAATGCTTGACGTAAATCCACTGGTTTCTAAAATATGCATAAATACGTACAAGTTATTCTTTTTTCTCTGTAAAACAACTACAGATAATTGATGTTAATAAGTGTAAGTAATTTTTTTAAGCTACACTACATTAACCTTAGCATTGATTCAAGTGAAAAAACCAGTAAGATATGGACAAATAACAAGAAAAGATCTAGTTAATTGGTTAATTAATCACGAAATTGATCACAATTCGCAGAGTTCAACGTGTAACAGAAACTGTTAGAAGTTATGTGTATATTGAAGGAGCTTAGTATATCATAAGTACTCTGTTATTTAATAGAACACATAAAGTCTAGCGTAACTGGGCACAACCAAGAGAAAAGAAATGTGCGCTACACAAAATAAAGCGATTATATATATATATATATATATATATATATATATATATATATATATATGATATTGCCCGAGTGCCCAAACCGACGAAGATGGTTTTTTAGGGGGCCATACACTGAGCATTCGACCTAAAGGTCTGATCTACAAGGCAGTAGAGCAACGTCAGGAGATGCAGACCCATGGTAGCCGGTGACTAATAATTGATTCATACGCCATTTGTTCTCTTGAGATCCTGGAGCCCATGTGCACCGTTGGTTTGGAATGAGGGTTTTCCAAATCCTCTAGGGAGAGCTGACTCTCCCGTTAACTGAGTATTTAACACAGGCTGAATCTCCAAGTAGTATTATGAATTTACTTGAGATTATTTAAAAGCCAGAACACCAGTTGTAGAGACAGTTTATTGTTAATGATTAGTAAAATTCCGCAAGCGCGACGAAAAGCAAGCACACACAGAGAAACCAGTGATTGTATGTGTGTCAAAAAATCCATATAATATTTATAAGTGTTAATCGATTGTGAGCAAAGGTTGATGTGCAGAAATGCACTGAATCAAACTCACACATAATTTTACATAGTGGATTAAATGTCTAAATTACAGCGAGTAGACAAATAATAAAATAGTTGAATGGGCTTACTACAGTTTCACAAGTATGGAGGGAAACTGCTTTCATTGACGTATTGTAGACCCAGTTCTTTATAGAAAGACTAACATCACGACAACAGCAAAGATAGCCAAGATAAGCATAAGCCGACCTGGTTTTCAATATACGTAGACAGATCCCATCACCCACGCCACCATCAGTAAACTCAACTACCCAGGTACACAAATTTTTAACTACTTTTAGCAGCTTGCCACCACGAGAACTTTGTACTTAGATGGTGAAAACTACTTACCAAACTACGGACACCAACGGGTAGGTAAGTATCAGCTTTAATAAACAACTCATAAAAAATACTGGTATCTATTGTCAACAAAAGATATATCCGTTTCATTTAATTATTACCTAAAACTGATATGTGATGGTGAAGGTGAAATATGATTGGTCACCGAGAGTGTGTGATTTCCTTTACGCTCATTGATTTCTACTCCGGACTCACTGAGAGTGACTGCTTGTGTCTATGTCCATACTCTGATCTCTATTTTGGGTCGCGAATCCTGGATCTGATTCGACGTGACTAGTCTTATTATCGTGGCATACCTGGGAGAAAAATGTTTTAAACCACCCATCATATCCAAAACACTATTGAACTTACAGTTTTGCGAACAAAATTAACGAATCGAATCCAATCATATTGATCATTGAAAATACTTTTGCCTTCACCGTCTAAAAAATTGACCCAATCATGTTGAAGGGTAAGATGTTGAAAAAATAATGGAGCTGTGTTAAAATTATTCTCACACATTAAACAAGTATACTTTTCAGATGAAAGCGAATCAGGCAGTGTGACTTCTTGCCAATCATCTGAATCACAGTCGTATTCCATTGGATTTGAATTGGTAATCGATTTGTTCATATCTAGAATAAGAAAAATATATCGACACTAAAATAGGTGATGACAACAGAAAAGTTAGTAATTTTGAGAACCAATTAATTACACTTGATTTTATGAATATTGCGTAAGCCCTAAGTTGAATGCTAACAACTTTCGATATGTCTTGGAAGAAGAGTCAGTAATTTTATGCACCGATATGATGTTAAGATCCGCTTAATCTTAGCTCCTCTATAATTTACTCCTGGCAATCAATATTGTATGCCGTAATGGGCAGTGATGGTTAAGGATGATTAAAACATCTAATCGTCTTAGCTGATGAAAGTTTATAGCCTTGTCATCAGTAGATTTATTCTTTCTACCCAGTACAATGAGTATCATGTCAGTGGTCCTACAACTTGCCACCAGGGCTCTGAAGATACATATGATCATATACCCGAGGTGTGTGTATATCTACTTTCACATATTATTTTGTGGTTGCATAATAATGCAGGGCGGATTGCTGGTTTTGGTTGGAATTTGTAGATAGTGGCTAAAATCTGAGTATTTGAATCCCAATGTCAAATTGTAGCAGAGATAGTAACATATAAGCTTACGTGCACAATGCTGCCAATGTGAATTATACTTAATCTTTTGAGGCAGTGAATCTTTATCGGCTGGGATGATTGGGACATGTATTAAGTGTACCTATGCACTGACTACCTTGACTCATGAAAGTGGCTAGTGTACGAGTAGGTTGAGAAAAAGCTAGAGGCTGCTAAATCAAGACGTGGCATCGGTGGATGAAGAAACTGACCGTCGGATTCAATCATGTAGGTAGGTTCAGACTACATAGAGACTTTGAAATAACATGACTCAAGATGTTAACAATGGTGCAGGGACAATCATTCTTTGTATTCCTTCAAGTCCTAAACTTCTAAATCCATCATATGTTTTCTTTTAATTATTTCACTAATATGTATTTTCTTCTCGAATTACATCTTAGATACCTAATCTATTCGATTACCATTGATACTGTTACTACCTCTACTAATGAGATGTGTCATAGCAATTTCATTTCGCTATGCTAACGCTGCATGAATGCATTTGACTGACTTGGTCTCTTGCACCCAGATAGTTGGATCAAGTTAAATAAATTTATTCATCAAATGGTTATGAATTGATCATGTTTATCTATGTACCAAACTTAATTAAAAATTTATATACAGTAAACATAGATGAACAATGTAGTTGGACAGGCAAGTAAACAGATTAGTAGAATCATTGTTACACGGAAATGTATGCAACTTTGAAAATATCATCATTCAATGTCAAGCGTTCGTATCAACAACAACAAAAAGAAGATATTTACTTTGCTGAACAATTTTATTATGATAAGTATAATGAACTACGTTAATATATAATATATACACAAAGTATTTGATTCAATAACTAACTATATATATGGTTATTTTGACGAAACTTTAATATTTAAACTATCATTATTGAAACTTTCCCTGGAATTTTACAGTGACATCAGTCGCATCAACTTCAAAATAATCTATAAGGTTAGAATTTACAGAACACTACGAATTACCCAGAATTAGGAAGTGTTGAAAACTAAGTGATATACCTGACAACTGGTTGTAGTCTTTGCATATACGGAAGTTACTTACCTATCGGGTACATAATCATGTACTTGGCTTCGAGTCACACTATGTGTAACGGTTAATGATACTACATGGTCGTCTAAACCAAAGTAGCTAGAGTGGGCCTTGAATCTGCGATGTAATTGTTAAGTTAAGTGTCTTAATCACTAAGTCACCACTTCGAAAGTGTTTCACAATAGCATAGGTAGTATATATGGACACATTCTTTACCTTCCTACAGATTTTAATTTTATACCATACTTTTTATCCCAGTCCTTTGAACCACTTTTACTACTTCTCTCTGACTACCGGTACTAGTTTACCCATTTCGCTATGCCGATGTCAGTTATGCCGCAGCTTGGACCGATCCAAGACATCCACTAGATATTATGTGGTTGATGTCCGGCCGATTATCTGCAAGACAGATGCAAATATTATTACACATTAGTTTATGTACATTCTTGGTTGGTATACGTACCAATGTGGGGAACTAATAGTTGTTGCTAAGAGACAACTACCATGTTAAATGGTATTCATTCCCACTAATAACAGTATTTAAACACATAAACATTGGTACAAGAGGGCACCAAATGTGTATGAGCAACATAAGTCATCCAATTTGCTTAAGGGCTGGGATAGTGCCCGGGTTCCCGAACCGAAGCAGGTAGTTATCCTAAGGGGTCACGCCCCGAGCCTTCGACCTAAAGGACTAGTCCACAAGGCAGTGGAGCAATGAAAGTAGACGCAGTCCCATGGTAGCCGGTGGTCAACAATAGGTTCATACGCCAATTGTTTTCTTAGGATCCTCGAGCCCACAACGGCGTAGGTGTATACACTCTTTATCTTACATTAAGCCGTGAGATTAAAATTACTTTATGCCTTTCTTTCTATGAACCAATTCTTCCTTCCTGTATCATATCCTTATATGCAATTTTTTTCATATATTACTACCAGTGAAGTAACTGTTCCTATGAATTTGGTGTTCATCTTGTTGTGCTAATGAGGTAAGGTAACTTGGATATATATATATATATATATATATATATATATATATATATATATATATATATATGCCTGGTCCTACGTTGTAGATGATTGAATTACTGATTTGACCGCTTGAAAAATACTAATAGGACAGCCACGTTTCACATAAGATATGGTTCGTATCAAATTACAAGGCGGTAAATTCTTATTGTGCACATAGTGGATATAATTTAGATTTAATAAGTTTAAGAGAGAATAAAGCATTACATTCGAATAAAAGCACCAATTGAAATAACTAATGAGTAAAAATTCCCAGTGTAAAGTGAACAAGCATTAAAGATTCGTTTCTTCCATTCAGCCAACATTGCAAATCGATGAAGCTTCGGTGCATCATCATTCGATAAATGAAGTGGTCGACACGCTCAACTACTTTTCTCTATAAGATCAGTTCTGTGCAATGACCCATACCAATCCTACAGAGACACTGCATTTAAAAAGAGCAAAACGCATTTTAATCGTGTTTGCTTAGCTGATCAAGGCGTTTGAAAGAATGCCCCATGCCGGGTACTATCAAGACCGGATTATCATTCGCCTATTCAAAGTCAATAAGTGAATCTTCTGGCGGGAGATCTATAGCTCAGACGTCAAACAAAGTAACTTTTATCTCTAAACGAGTAACAGTGACAAAATGATATTAAGTGAAATAGAGTTTTGTTAGCCAGAATACGAAGTATAACAGTGCTTCTGCAGGCACAAAATAACTGAGATTAAAGATATCGAGAAATAGACTAAGTTGAAAATAACACATTTCATCTGAACGATACTTGCATCTAGGCAACAGGTATCGGAAATTGAAGCCGACCATAAATTACTTCGTAATGTGCGCAAATAACATCATCTTATTTGCCAAGAAAAACTGCATTACAAACTTATATGGTACTACATATGACGAAATGAAAGATGTTATGAAGAACATAAAACTATGGGGTCCAAAAACAAGGAATAGAACTGAGTGCATTGAAGGAACGAAGCACTTAAAAAGTATTTCAAGTTATCTTATTATTTGTCTATGGAGCTAAAAGAACCATAAATATTAACATGAATGATATCAGATGATTTTTTTACATCTTACTATCTTGACAGATGTGGTTTCTCAGACCGACTTACACATACACCAACTGCATCGTACCAAAGAAACCATGGACCAAAATATTTTTCGTAATATGGACCAATCACTAGTTTATTTTCCTTAGTCAATGTCATTCAGTACCTAAAATATTTAGTGACCATGCAGTTAGTCTAGATTCTTCTACATTCTTTTTACCACTACTGCCAAACACGAAATTGGAAAGAAAGAAGAATAAACTATTCAGAACCGTATACTACTTGACGGCCTAAGAATATTAATAATACAAAAAGAATCGTAGTTTAAAAGTACGACTCAAAAGGAACAAACGATATCAAGATATAAAAAATTAGGAATGATGCTTAACTCAAGATTTAAACTTAGAGAATCGATACAATTTCACTACCGTAACTGGCTGTGTATCAAATGATGTTTAGGGCTAATAAACAACCCTTCATCTAGTTACAAAACTTTGACTTGTGTTATGTTTAAAGTTATTTAATTTCATAAACTAGATAAAACCATAAATGAAATACTAAAGCATAAATAACATTGAAGTAACAAATCGATAATGTAGAATGAGATCCGGTTATCTAGAGTATTGTGAATCTAATACTAAGAGTATAAAAACCGGGGATTACTAATGAACTGACATACAACTATTAGATCGTTTTTACAAAGAGCTAATATTATTTTAGCCTTCCATATATATATATTGAAAGCCTAGATATTAATTCCTCATAAAACTACCCATGAGGAGCTTAAGAATCTGTCGAAAGTTTGTAAAGTAGTTTTTATGCCTAGTTTAACAAGAAAAAGTATGTACTCCACTATCAAACAATTGGATAAGCAGTCTTCAAAACTAAGCGTTCAAGCAGCAAAATCTAGAAATAAGTAATGAAGGTCGAGTTTAGACTAAATTGGCGGACAAGAACCTATTTCTTACTAAAGTCCATGTCAATATTTTCTATTTAACACTAAACTAAGAAGCGAAATAAGAACACAGTTGAATAGTGATAAGACTAAAACATTACTATGGAGAAAACATGACTCAAAATCTTATAGTTAAAGGAATCGCATTTCTCTTTACATATGTGGAGTGAAAAAGTATGAAACTAGAAAGACTGTATGTTAAATGAATAAGTATATATTACTACATGTTAACGGTTAACTATTCTGCCATAATGATCCCCGTATGTGCAATAATGATTTCTACTGTCTCTCGAAGGCTTAAATTTTCTGTCTTCAGGATAAGGATATGGCCATTATCTAGAAAAAATTTGGATAAGCTACAAGTGTTTATGGTATACCATATGAAATTTCAACTTCAGGAGGGTTACTGTCTGAGAGTACATTGATCTTTACTAGCATATTAGTATTGGATGCTCGCCACCTCGGTTCACTGAGTATGCTACAAAGGTGTCTACAAAATTTTTGTTATCATATACATACTAACCTAATAGACTCAGTTTTCTGTAGTAATGGATTAAAACGAAATGATATTTTAATAACTGGTTTAAAATTTAACTGTTTGAGAATGGTTTTAGAAACTCTGCTATCGTCGACAGCTAACGGAGAGCGGAAATATTTGATCGAACGTGGCAGTCGCCAAGATTTCTGAAAAGACATTCTGTATCGGCCTAGCCTGACGAAACTTTAAATGTTGGGGGACCGGGAAAAGCAGAGTGAACAAGGAAAGCTGGAATGAAGAACAAGGAGAAAATGAGCTGATGACTCAGTAAGCACATGGAATGCACTTACATTTATTAATGGAAACAGTAGACAGCAGTCAGTAATACCATAGGTGTAAATTAAGAAAATTCAACATATAACACTAGCCAGCTGCCAGTTGGAGGTCGCGCCACGTCTCTGTTAGGATTCCTATTGGTTGATTTTTCAAGCGTTTGAGTTGGTGGCGATCTTCACTCTTTAGTAATGAGGGTGGGAGGTCAAGTAACTTATATGAATCCTTGTAATTTGTAGTACTGCGAAGAAGTAATCTAGCTTTGAATATATCAACTGATCGTGTTGGTATTACTTATTCTGGTAGAAATTTCTATCAATTAACTAAGTGATGAGAGAAACAATACCCCAGACGTAAACAATCTGGTCTCAGTTTCGGAGTTTCTTGCAATATCCTCTCACATAATCAGTTCTGGATGGTAGGAAAGAGTGAAACATTATTACCAAATCATAGCTCACTATACGATAAGCAAGTATTAGGTTACCTCATAACCTACGGTATAGTGGAAATAGGTTAAGATGTTCCAGTCTGTCTTCATAAGGTCAGTGAAACATATAGTGGCATTCATGTTCAATGAATTTTGTAACGAAAAAATAAGGATCATATTTTTTCTCCCTATATATGACACTATATGTAGTCACACATAGTGCGGTACACTACAACTTAGACCAGACGCTGGCGAAAAGGACCTAATAATTGTTGATTTTCAGGTTGTAAGGCCTCGACAGGGAATGTTACTGAAGCCACTCTTGGTGCAGCACGAAGCCATTTAAATAGGCGTCGGGTCTGTTACACATATGTCCGAAGGTCGCTTGATACGCGGTCGGAACTAGGTGTACAGATTGACTAGACCAAGCCAGATATAATCGCAGTCACAGAAACGTGAATGACACAGTCTATGGATAGTATGGAACTTGATTTTGAGGGCTTTACGTTAGCAAGAGCTGACAGAATCCGGAAGCGTAAATGAGGGGAAGTAGCTCTATTAATTAGGAATGCTATTCCATTTGCAGTTATTGACAGTGTATCCCATGATAGTGGGACATGTGGATTAGTTAGTTGCCGCTTGAAATGCAAGGGACTATGGCTGCTAATTGGTTTGATCTATCGCAGTCCAAGCTGTGATGTGTATGAAGTCTTGCTAAACAGTCTCACAAAGTGGTCGATGTCTAATCCTGGGGGACTTCAAAGCACCCATGGCCATTATATAATTGCCAAAAACGACCACGCATCAGCTTAATCCAGACCTAACGTCTGGAAAGCAAATATGCAAGATATTATACACTCAGCATCGTCAGTATATTGGACAATAGGGCCGGAGTCTCCAATTGAAACGGCTTGGGACGCATTTCCAATTCTGTACCTAAAGGTTATTGCACCCCACACACCGTGGGGCAGAGAAACTCTCCACCATGGCTCAGTAAGGAGATTTACATGCTGATCCGTAAGAGAAGAAAAAGGTGGGATAGATTTAGGTTACTGGGGACTGACGAGGGAAAATCTCAGTATCGAAAAGCTCGGAATACTTGTGTCTTGACCCTCCGTAATTCTAGAAGGTTGTACGAAGAGAAAGTCGTCAAGAAATTCGTATATAAACCAAGAGACAAAAAGAAGAGGAAATATTCCTGCACTATAGTACTGCTTCATCATTAGTGGAGGACGACTTTGGTAAAGCTCGAGTATTCTCAAAATAATTTAGTAGTGTATATACCACAGAAACACCCTTCCCATCAGTTCATACAAATCCCTGCCACACACACTGAACAGCGTGACCATTAGAGAATTCGATGTCTTTGGTCTGCTAACTAAGCTCGACATAGGCAAATCCACGGGACCCGATGAACGGCATCCTAGGTTACTAAAGGAAGCGGCAGACTTCGTTGCGAACCATTTATGTATATGCTTTAATCTATCTGTAACCCAGGATCGTTTACCGAGAGACGGGAAGAACGCCATAATAAGTCCCATCTGCATGTTCTTCAGAAGTTTGATAAGATCAAAGGGAAGAGAGTTATTGGTATGGAAACGAAGTGACGATGAAGCTTCAGACGACTGATGAACATATTGTGAGCGGATTATTTACTGTTTGGTTCTAATATTTTCCTAAGAGGTTCAGCATTTATGTACTAAAATACATTGGTTGTCTCTCGCTTATGTTCTCTTTCATATCAATACTAATCCCGTGTAACTCGACTAAGCCCCCCCCCCAACAATTCTACATAAATCATCCACAATAGTGATCTACTAGTAACGCGCATTTCATAAAAATTGTTAGAATATTGTTGTTTAGTAGACCAGTTTGCAGTAAGTGTTGTTTGTTACTGTTTTGTTTTACTCATAAATAGATACTTCTGTTTGTGGCGTTAAGTCTTCTTGTTAAATCATTGGTAACTGGTGACCTCATCCACTTTTTACGAAACGAAAATCTTAAGTTCACCCGCAACACATTTCTGCGTTTCTTTTCCTTTTAGCAGCGATTGTTTTTTATATTTATAATATTTTCATAGTAGCGTTTTACCCTAACACGGGACAATATAGGAAATAGATATTAAACATTCAACGCGGAGAAAAACCTCAATAATGAGGAAGGCAAGAAGGTCATAAACAGCCTAATCAGGCGACCTACGTACACATCATGCCCACACTGTCGCTAGTCTTGAAGAAAGACCAGATGCATCACATTTAATAATTTCCGATTTCATATTTCGAAGGTCCATATCTAGTTTTCAGAGGACTAAGGACCAAAAAACCACAAGAACAAGTAAATATGACGACCACATATGTTGGTACCATAGAATGTGTGGCAATAAAACTAGGAAGTGTGTTGGTTTGAGTAGTTTTCCTTGTTCGAAAATGCGTCAACCAGATAGCAGTGGCGACGACTGTTGCTAGTTGTGCCTTTAATCTCCTCCTCCGCATTCCTGATAGGGCAATCGGCAACAAGTCCTTGATAGACACGGAAGCCGAAGTCAATATTATCCCAGTTACCTTAACCAGGAGACCCATTGCCAAATAAAGAGACTATTTATTACAAGCAACCAACAAAACTCGAGTGAAGATATTAAGGGAACAACTCCTGATATTGGCGTTCAGTTGGACTATAACCTACACAGTAGTAAAATCAACACACAAATAAGCAATATATTCGCCCAATTTTTATCCGAATTTCTTAAAATAATGAAACCAGACTATAATAAAAACACTACCCAGCATCCGGTAGTACATGGGATCATTAAAAAAGTCAAACAGTTTCGGCAGATCCACGTCAATCACCACCAGACCAACTTGTCGGTTCAAAGGCCGCATCTGATAAAATCACGCGGCCTGGAGTAATACGTCCATTGAGTAGCCCCTGAGCAACCCATCTTCACATGATACTTATGAAGGGTCAGGATTGGTAACTTTGTGATGATTATCGATTGTCGAATGACGTAACATTACCTGAAAGTACCCCGTCCCTTATTTGCACGACTGTTCGCCTACGTTCGCGAGAAATTTTTATGGGATCGATCTTATGTCAGTGTAATATTGGATTGTAGTAGCATCTGAGGACGTGGCAAAACTGGCTCCTTTTGATTTGTTTGAATCCTTGAGAATGCTATTCAGATTAAATAACACTTCACAGACATTGCAACGATTAATGGATGAGGTCTCTAAAGGCCTAGATTTTGTTTCCATGTATATCGACGATGTATTACTAGTTACCAGTCCACGCCTTGAACATATTGGTCACCTGCAACAACCATCTTATTATGTATAGTTCTTAATCCATTTCAATGCAATTTTTGGAGTCGAAAGCTAAGACTTTTTAGGCCACTCGACCGAAAAACATGGAATCGAAAAAGTAGATCAAAAATTTGCAGCCATAAACAATTTTTCAGAACCATAATATTTGAATAAACCTCGATGTTTCTAGAGAATTTTTAACTTCTTTCGTCAGTTAATTTCATACTGTTCGGCCATTCCACAAACCTTAATAGAGGCATAAAGATGTAAAGTCAGAAGGTTCATATATCTTTTCTACAGTTAGACTAGCAATTGTTTCCACAACCACTCTGACTTAAATCCTGACCCGGAGACAACACTAATTCTGTGCACAGATCCGTCTGAGGTACAGTAATACAACAGCGAGTAAATAACGAGACCAAGCCACTTTCTTTTCGAAGAGACTAGAACCAACTCAAATGCGATAAAGCAATCTCAGTAGAGAACCACTAGCCATTTACTTGACAGTTAGACATTTTAAACATTTACTTCAAGATAGGGGTCTCGTGATACTCACTGATCACAAACCTTTGACGCCAAAACCGAACATTTTCTATCCAGAGAGATGCAACAGTCAGATCAAATTTCATAAGTTTCGACCAATATACAGTTTACAAAAAGTGAATCAAATGTTAAGGCAGATATTTTATCACGTTTCAACGTGGGTGCACTTTGCTCCACTGGACTGGTTTATATTAAACAGTACACGTTTACAGGCCGATTATTCTTATCTCTCTGCGTATAGATAAAATTCAAGTCGAATTTTAAATAGTGCTTAAATACTACATTCCGAGTCCACTATAATTTGCGACACTTCGACTTGCATACACAAACCATTTGTGCTGGTAATGTACAGAAAGAGAGCTTTTGATTGTTTTCATTCATTACATTCATTCAATACAACTTTTTAAGTTTATAGCTGTTCTAAAGTAGACTTGTAGAGCTGTTGGTGTAAACTATGACTTTGAGAAACCGTGTACGTTCCAGAAGTCGGAACTTCCATAGCTGCGCCCTCAGTAAGATTCTGAAAAAGGAGAAACAGGGGAGCAGCAAGGCAACTGGATATGAACGCTAAACAATAACATTTTGTAGTGGAACAGACAGTTGTATGATAGAATAATCTATTATTGGCCTAATAATTATTAGGTCATATTCATACTAGCTGTAGTT